TTTGACAGCATCTTTGCATAACAGTTGAACAAACTGCTGTTGTGTCAAAGATGCGCCGCTGGCTGTGCTCGCTGCTACCAGCAGCAAATCTACGCAAACACAGCAACAGAGCAACATAGCTGAGACGAGGGTGGCTCAGCGGCGTCGCTGCCAGATCATTTTAACGCATTAACACCCTGAGGACGCTGACTGCGTCGCACCAGCATAAAAATTGCAAGCAGTGAGAAAGGCAGGCGGCCGATAAGCAAGCAATTCTAATGTAGGCAGAGGCAGAGCCTTAACGTAACAATTATCTACATGCCAGAGAGAGACAAAGAGAGAGATAGAGAGAGCGAGAGAGGTGGAGAGTCACAATAGATGGCCTCTCATCCCTTGGCTGGTATTTTCCATATGGGAGCATTTATACGCATTCGTTTTCAATTGAAAATTCCGCTGTGGCGTTCGTTGCCCCGTCGCCCCTCGCCCCGTCGTTGCTCGAACGTTCTGCTGTCAGTCAGTTGTTGGTCGTTTGTCTTGCTATTATCGTTGCTTTTGCTTTCCCTGCTCCTTTCCTCTTTCCCCTTTCCCCTCTTGAGCCATAACATGTGATTTTTCTTGCGTATGGAATTTGTCATTTGTTGTTGTTGTTGTTGTCATTTTTATCAACGCAGATTTTTTCTCTTCTCTTTCCCTTGTTTTATTTTTGCTTTAGCCCAATGCAAGCCATATAAAACTTGTTATTCGCCATTGAAAATTGCTTTTTGCTTGTCCCTTTTTTTGTTGTTGTTGTTTTCTTATTTTATTTGTATTAGATATCTTTATCAAATTTTGCTGATTTGCTTTGCAATTTGTGTGCGACGTCAAAGTTTTTCCAATTTCCATTTCCCAAATCGCAAAGCCAAAGCCCAAGTAGCTGTTTATCATTGATAACGTTGTTTTTTGTTGTTGTTGTTGCTGCTTTTTTTTGCTGTGATTACTTCTCTTATCTTAAAAATAGATATGCACATTAAGTAATTTGAATTTCACATTTGGGGAAATCACACAAAACCTGACAGCGCAAAGTGAATTTAGCTTGTTTTTTTTTCTCTGCTTCATTTCTAATCTCACCTTTTGATGTTATATTTTTTTGGCCTGGGGTAACTCCCCAATTGTTTTAGAATACGCCATCTTATTGTTCACTTACAGTAAACATCAATCACTTAGCCAAAGGTAAACAGTTTTAAAAAGCCATACTGTCATTCTAAGAGTTATGGGAATTTCTAATTCGAATTCGCATAGAAACTGGTTTTTTCTCAACTGATGCGCAGAATTTATTTTTTTGCACACCACGTGACGTGTTTTGCTTTATTTTCAATTGAATAGTGTTTTTTTTTGTAGGGTTGGGCTCTGTAATTTTAAAGATCCAAGTTAAAAACTGTGTCACATATCGTGATTTTTTTTTTAGATCTGCTGATAACTCTGCCAGTTCTGTAACTAGTTCCTAATGTCAATGCGAAAGTAACAGTTGTGTCAGGTAGCCGAAACAAACTGTAAAACATTGCAGTTTCCTTTTGACAAGCATTTTTTTTTTGTTGCTTATCTTTATGGACAGTTTGAAGTTGGTGTTCACTGTAATAAATTCCAATTTAATGATCATCATTATGATTGGGGCGTTGCCAAAGGCGGCGACTGCAACTATTATTCGAGAGTCTACAAAATTACGTTTAAATAACGCATTGTAACTCTTATGTGATTTATGTTTGTACAAGCAGTAAACAAACAACAACAACAACAAGAACGAAGAGAAATAAATAAACGTCCAAAAATAAAACATTCACACGAAAATTGGCTTGAAAAGTCAGCATCGAAAACGGTCAAGTCCCGCAACGACGCCAACGTCAGCAGCGACGTCGACGTCAAACGAAGCGCCAGGTTGCCAGCTGATGCCGCCAGAGGCAACTCAGCTGTATGCCAACAATTTACTGGTGGGCATTTGAGCGAGCGCATTTAAGATGGCGACGTCAACGTCAACGACGACGTTGCTGCCGCTGTCGCCGTTGGCGTTCGACAGGCTGCCGAACGTTCAAATTTGTTTCTCACGCCGCGTTTGCCAAATGCCAAAAACCACTTGTTTTGAGTTTTTTTTTTGCGCATAGTACAAGTGGAGGGGGGGTGCTGAAATCATGACAAAAGTGACGCCAGCGCCGAAGCCGACGCCGTTGGCAATTAACTTCGCTTTACACGCGAACAGCGAACGGAAGAGTGCCAAAAGCGAACGGCTGAAAAATTGATGAATGAAGTAATAATTGCCACAATATGCTCGAAATTCTGCTCCACTGTGCGAATTTTTGGGTGGTGGCGCTCTGCGGTTGAGTCAGACGGCAACGACGTCGTTGACGTCAACGCCGCAGCTCCGCTCCCATGCTCACTTTTTCTCTCTCTCCCTCTTTCGTACTCTCGCTCTGTCTGGCTGTCTGGCGCTCTTGTGATACGCAAAAAAAACACCCCCGCCACAATTGCTTTTTTCCGGTAGCAGAGCTTGTTGTTAAAAGCGAGGGTTAGAGAGAGAGAGAGAAAGAGAGGGAAAGAGAACAGTGAGCAGAGAGCACGGAGAGCAACATTGTGAAATAGTTCCGATTTGCTCCAGAGACATTTGCCGCATACCGGCGCTTTTCCATTTACATTTTCTCGCTCTCGCTGCCCGTTCGGTCAGCAAGCCGCCCATTCATTCATATATGCGGCGCACTCACTCGCACTTGCAGCGGAAAGTCTGCACTCTCTCTATCTGTCAGTCTCTCTAACTAGTTCTCTTTTGACACTGCGCATGATCTGCGCTCTCTTCACCGGTTTCTGGATTGTGTTTGCCGTTGCTTGTCTTTGCAATCAGTTTCATTTTAATTTTTGTCGTGGCCAGTTCGTTGTGCGCGTGTTTTCAAAACGAAGAAATATTCAAACAAAATTCAAATCAGCTGTGCTGGACACTGTCACTCAGTTCGTTCGTTCGTTTGTTCGTTAGTTCGTTAGTTTGTTCGTACTGTGTTTGTTCAAAGCTCGCAAATATTTTTTGCTACGTTACGCGCCGACAACAAGAAGAAAAAGAAGAGCAGCAGTAGCAACCACAAAATAACACAACTCTAGCAAGCTAACTGTGTTTTTTGTGCATACTCTCTCACTGTCTCTCTTTCTGCCTGTCACTCTCTGTGCATATGTGCGTGTGTGCGTGTGCTTAACTTAAAGCTGACGTCGTCTCGTCATCGTCATCATCATCATCATTGATGACAACAGCAACAACAACGACCTCAGCCGGAAAGCAGCAGCAGCAACTATTATAAAATTATTGCAAAAATTATAAATTATAACAATATAACAAGGTAGTGAAATATTATCGTATGTGCGGTTTTTTTTCATTGTTTCCTTTACATTGCCTTCGTCGTAGATCGTCTCTGGCTGTCATTGTATATATGTATGTATGTATATGTATTTGTGTGTGTATGTGTGAAACGGCATTAAGAAATATAAAAATAGCAATAGAAAGTTATTAAAGCGATTTTTGCGAAAAGCGGCCGCAGTTGTGTGCAAAAGCAAGCAAAAAAAATAAATACATACATATTTTTTATACACATCAAAAACAAAAAACCAAAAAAAAAGAAAATAAAGAGCATAGAAGCAGCAGCAAAGTCAAGAAAAATAGTTAAAGCTTACGTTGCCGCTCCGTCAATCGGGCTCTCTCTCTGTCTGTCTCTCTTCAGCGCCCGCCTTACGTCGCCGCTTACGTCTCGGGGCGCACTTGAAAACGTCGCAAAAGTTTGTAAACAGCAGAAAGCTTTGTGCAGCTGTGTGCGTATGCGTATGTGTATATGCATGTGTGTGAGTGTGCAATAGAAAAGTGAAGAAGCAGCGGCAAAAAGCAAAACGTCATCATCGCCATTATTGTTCTCCAGCAGCATCAGCAGAGGCAGGAAGAGAAGAAGCAGCAGCAGCTGTCAAGCAACAGAAAACAAAGTAAATAAAAGCAAATTGCCCAAAGGGCACAATTTGTTCTAAGACTCGCAATATTTCTCCCGTCTTGCAAATAATGGGAATAATTAATAATAACAAAATATAACGCAACTATTTGTGTTGCTCTGCTTGTTGTTGTCGTCCTCCTCCTCCTCCTCTTTTTCCTCGGTGCGTGTGTCTCTCTCTCAATTGTCTCTTTTATTATGTTTTTTTGTTTTCTGCTTTCTGTTGTTGTTTTTTGCTACGCTCTTTCGCACTGCGCCCACACACGCAAATTCGCTGAAAAAAAAGCGGCCATAATAAAGTTCAATGTCTGCCACAATAATAACAACTACAAAAGCAACAGAAAAGCAAAACATTTTTGCCGAATTTCGTTTAAATAAAATTTATTGCCCTGCTTTTGTTGTTGTTTTGTTGGCTGCTTGTGTGAAAAATTAAATGAGCCACAGCCGTCAGCTATTGTCTATATATATATATATGTATATATAAAAATGTGCAGAATTTTCAAAGCGGCTTTAATTTTATATTTGGCTCTTTTTTTTAGAAGCTTTTAGTTAAGTTAGCGTTTTTAACCATTGCTCAAATGCCAAACACCATGAATAAGACATGGGCTGTGTGAAAGAGAGCGGGAGAGAGAGAGAGAGAGCAGGAAATGACGAGACACACACTCATTTGCTCAAACAATTTATAGCGGTTTTTTTTTGTTGCTTTGAAGTTGAAGTCTGAGTGTTGGTTAATCAGCTGATGCAGTGAGGCTGTGTGTGTGTGTATGCGTGTGACTATTATGTGTGTGTGTTGGCACCTCTATTTTTGCAATTCCGATTGTTGTCACGTATGCAATTTAGTACTAAGCCTGAAAAAAGAAAAGAAAAAACTAAGATTGGTGTTTTTTGTGTTTAATGTTTGCTAAATTTTTGATATTGAATTTAATATTGTGCGCTGTTGTTGTTCATCTTGCGTTGAATTCACAACTCTTCTACAACTGTCTCTCTCACACCTGTCTGATATTCTGATATGTATGTACGATTTGCATTTGTTTCTAGGCTTACCAGTGGGTTAATCAGCTCAGCACTTTGGAGGTTAGTACAAAAAATAAAAAAAAAATAAAAACAAACAAAAAAATACAACAATTTAGCAAGAAAAATACTTAAAGACTCTGCCTTAATCTCGAAACACATCCATCCATATATAATATACTTTTGATACATATTCCTTTGTTATCTGGTGTTATTTTTACATTTTATGTACACGGTTTTCTTGTTGCTTATTTCAATTTTTTTATTCGTTCAATTTTATTTCAGTTGTGTTGAATTTTGTGTCTTATCACACGTTTGTTTTTTTTTCCTCTCTGTTTTATTTTTTGCGGCGATTAGTCAGCCTTACAGTTTATTTAAGTGCCATGCACGAAACAGTGCAACAAACAATGGCCCCCTCCAGCCCTACCCCCAGCATATGCGTGAAGTCGCGCCCCCGTCGCGAGGCAAACAGCGTGACAAGCCAAGCGACTGATTAGCCTGACACCGCCAACCCCTCCAAAACCCTCATCTCCTCTCTGTCATTCTCTCTCTATCTCTCTCTCTCTCTTTGCTTTAGTGCCTGTGAAGTCCAAGGTTAAACCCTTTTTTTGACGCCAACTTTTGGGTGTCACGTACTTTGCTGCCTACCCCTTTCCCTGCTTTAGTTCTTATTTTAGCACTTTTGTATACATTGTATCACATTTTGTCTGTGCGCTGTCAACCCCTTGCTGAAATTGCTATGCAGGTTGTTGTTTCGGTGGGGTGGGTTGGGTGGGGGGAGGCAGGATTACTTCATTGGAACTTTCTCCTTTACACACACAGACAAACACACACACACAGAGGCAAAGTTGTTGCAGTCATTGCACCCTTCTTCGACTTTGTAGTTGCTGCTGCTGCTGCTGCTGCTTGCCGCTTGCCGCTCTTCTCTCAATTGTCCTCCCTTTTCTGCTCTCTCTCTCTCTCTTTCTCCCCTTCTCCCATTTGCACTTGTCTTCTCACCTAAACAGACATCGTTAACCTGCCTGGGCAAATAATAGCAGCAGCAGCAAATAACAGCAACAACAACAACCAACCCCTAAGGGCGAACGCCTTTGTTATATTTTCGGTAACAAAGTAAAAGTTGTAAAAACACCAAACGTGCAAAAACACAGTGCACAGTGCCACAGGAGAGCAGAGCGGAAAACGAGCAAAAAGAGAAAAAAAAGAAAAGAAGAAGACCGAAAAATAAAATAGATTACAAGGCGACTTCTGCTCCCTCTTCCTCCTCTTTTTCTTGCATCAGTTTAACGCTTTAGCTTTTTAGGCTTTGTCTTATTTTATTTTTTATGTCCTGCTCGACGCTTTTATGGTTTTATTTGCCAATTTTTTTATTTACATATTCTCTTAGTTGTATTCGTTCTCTCTCTCTCTCTCTCTCTTTCTCTCGCTCTCTGTCTCTCTTTGAGAGAGCTGCTTGCACTTATCGTCGACAACTTCCTGCGATTCTTTGCCGGGCTACGGAAACACAACAAGGCAATTTGTTACCAAAACTTGTCCCTGTCCCCGCCCCCCTCTCCGGTTGCACGGGGGTTGCTTTGTCGTTTGTTGCTAGCATTATTTGGTACGTGCCTAAAAATGCAAATCCAACATAAACAGCTTCAGGGGACAGACGGGGCGGTGTGGAGTGGATTAAAGCGCAGCAATAACAAAAATTAAGACAGGCAAAATGTTAAAATCACACACGACGCAATTTTCTCGCAGAAATTCACAAAATAAATAAGATCAAAACAAAAAAATCAACATACAAAAGGCAGCAAAACAAATACGAATTCAACAAAGGCAAGTTTTTCCTGAGTTTTCCCTGTCCACCCGCCCCCACAGCAAGAAAAAGAAACAAAAAATGAAATATTAATGTCATTAGTTTTGGTCAAAGCAGAGATTTCACTATGAGCATGGCCTCGAGAAAGATTCTTCATTACAATCAACATTTATGTATGGCTTAAAAGTGCCACAAGCTTTGGTAACACAATATTTTAGACTAACTGGAAAAAGGCTCCTTCGTTCAAATATCAAATTTAAGTCAACAATTTCAGAAATTAAATTGGCGCTAAATGTATTTATAAAGGCTCTGAAAGGTTTTTGGCTACTATGTGCCACAGTGATGGCTCCCAAAGTGAAAACTGCCCTCGAATTGAAACGTTTCCATCTAAAAATGCAATAAAATAAATGAATACTCATTTCCTTTGTATATATGCCATAGTTTATTGTGTGTTATATGATCCTACTCGAAAGCAAATCTATCGTCAGATACACATATGTATATGGTACATATATATATATACTATATAAACACGACCAGATTTTGTAAGACTAGCACACACAACTCTGTCGGCATTTGAAAATAATAATTGTGAATTCCCAGAATAATAGTCTCGGAACAGTCACATACTGCTGGCAAATTGTTATCAGCTCACAAATTGTAGCTCCCGTCACGTTCTTTTCACCAAAAACAACAACAGCAACAGTAAAGTTGCCAGGCAGACACTAAACCTCCGATAAATAGTTGCACAAGTTCCATTAAAATTAAAAAATAAAAAAACAGACTGTTTCTGGAGCATTCCTTATCAGTAGACACGCTAAAGTGGCAAGAACAAGAGAAATTATGTCAACGGCTCACATTTCGCCTCTCTCTCTCCCTCTCTCCACTCTCTCTGTCTCTCTCTCTTTCTCTCTCTCTCGATATATGTATATATCGCTCTCTCTTTTGATTTAGCCTTTCACATGCCACATTCGTCATGCACAATTCGTAATAGTCTCAATCGAAATCTAAGTTGACGACTCTACCAGGCGCCGGCATCTCGGGAATACACTCGTCTATCGTTTGATCAGCTGACGAAGCCCCATAAGGGCCATATGTACTATATATATACATATATATGAAGTTCTGTTAATTTGATGATTCAACAACCTGGCATTTCCATATGCAATACTTTGATTATCGATTATAAAGAAGCACAACAGTACAAAAAAAAAAATAAAATAAAATGAAAGTGTTTTGTGTGGTTCAAGAGAAGCTGTCTGTGTTTTATCCATCAGGTGATGTCAGCAATTTTGCGAATTGTTTAGCATATCTAATCCAAATTGTGAACTTGTTTCTTTGGAATGACTGGGAAAAAACCGATTTGCAATGAAACAGTATACAAATTTTAATTGCTATCGCTTAAATACGTTAAGTGATGTCTCTCAAATGAACAATTTAATTAAAATCGAAGTATAATGATATATATATATGTATATAGAGTCTTTGAATTTACGTGTTATATATCAATATTGATTTGTAATTAATAATGACGTGAAATTTAACAGACAGTAGTAAGCATCTCCGATTCCATAAAGTATATATATTCCTGATCTGCTAGGAACTTTAGATTTGGAATATCAGTTTAATATAACAATTGTAGCTCATGTTTATTTAATTTTAACGATAACTGCCCACGTTTCGCGAATATCGGTACAATCGATAACCGATACCTTGGCATATATTGATAGTCTGTAAAAAATTAATTATGCTTGGCATATATTGATAGTCTGTAAAAAATTAATTATGCTTGTTTGAGAAACTCGTTAAATAATCGTATAAGCATATTGGGTGCAGGGTATCTGCTAGTCGATCGCTCTTATAGAGTATTGCAAGTGCGTTGCATTGCTTTGCCAAACTAGTTGGGGGAGATTATTGCTTTTGTTATGATTCACACTTAGTGCTCACCACATAACTCTCACGAAACAAAAATGTGTTTGTTGCCTGCTGCTGAATAGTTGGCTCTGTCAGCGCTGTTGCTGTGGGCAGGTGACTTTTATGGCATTTTTTTTTAGTGCACTTGCTGGCCATACACCGCACCCCTCCCTCCTTCGCCGGCTGCAGCACTCAACTGGAATTACCCCGCTTGGACGCAGATCTAAAAAGATTAAGTGCCACAAGAAAATTGTGAAACTTTGTGCTTAAAGACGCATAAAAAATCTAAAGGTCAATTCACTGGTATTTGTGAGTGTATATGTGTGTGTGTGTGCATCTGTGTGTGTGTGTTTGCGGTTGCGTTTTCACTTAATTTGCTTGCTGTATTTTCAAATGACTCATTTTCGATTGTACACAAAGAGAGCGAGACGGAGAGAGGGAGACTGAGACGAGAGAGAGAGACAGAGAGGGAGAGAGACGTGAGCATATTGTAGTTTAGATTACACTTACGGCTTCAGTTCTTGTTGTTGTTGCTGTTGCTGTTGCTGCTGCTTCTGCTGCATGCATTCATCACCCTCAGCCCTCTACTCCCCCCTATTTTTGGCGTTCGTGTCGCCTCGGGGGAGGCATTTGTTGCCTGGCGGCACATGTGGCGTATGAGTGATAAAACCATTTCGTATATATGTGCTTTCCCTACTGTTCCTGTTGCTGTTGCTGCTGTTGTTGTTGTTGTTGTTTTTATCCATTTGGTTATTAGCCACAGTTGCAGTTGTCGTTTTATTATTTCCCCAGCTGAACAGCTGTTTTTGTTGCAATGCATTTAGCTAATTGTTTTAATGACTTTGCATGTTTGTGTGTTTCTGTGTAAATTGTTTTTCTTTTATTGACTCCAACTGATTGAGTCGCACAGCTGCAATAAATGTCAAGCAGAAAATGCTCGTAAGGGTATTCGAACTCTTCGAAAAACGGTTAAATATAAATATAAATTGAGCTGTGTAGTTTATTTCAAATACAAATAAAAAACAAAAACAAGTTTAATATGCTTGTGTGCGTAATTCACAAGAAGCCACCATACATAACGGAATTTATCGTGCGTGATGCATTTATGCAGCAATGTGGCAGCCACTTCAGCCAAATATCTAAATAAATATACAAGATACCAGAAAATTTAAAATATTAGCAGGAAATAATAGAAAATATATTATAGGAATAGTTAGGGAACTGTGATTTTCACATTTACAGGGTATTTTCTCGTTATGCTTGTAACTTTAAATCGATCAATTATCCTTCGTATTTTGAGACATTTGTGATGCTTTCAAACCCAACCTCTGCTTACGTTTGTCACTTTTTG